GTTTTACCCCTGTTTCCATTTGTTTTTTCACACTCTTCTTAAAAAAAATGTTTTGCTTTGTTTCAAATTTCAATTTTCAAATTGTTTGTCTTTTTTTCTTTATTACTCTTATTTGTCCCTTTGTTTCAGATTGTGTTTTCCATAATGTAATCTTGCAACATTCATTCTGGTACTAAAATGCACTGTGTCTGTTAAAGGTGAACGTTATGTGGTTAACTTTTATTGTTGTTACAATTATGCACTAATAGGATATTTAATAACAAATTAGACTGAGTCAAAGCCATTCAACATGTAATAGAACTGGAATTAATTCCTCACTTTACTATCTTCTATTATCTTTACTACTGTATCCCTATTTATCACCTTCTCCCTCCCCATCAATCTTGTGTAGGTTGACCCACGCAAATATTCCCACAGCAGCTCAGCGGAACGCTTCCTGGAGAACTCTCACTCCTCTCTGGAACGGGCCTGTGGTTTGGGATATGTGGAACTGGACTGTGGCCGCTCCTGTGACTACAAAGTGGGCTCTCCTTCATATCTGGATAAAATTGCCTGGCGGGAGGGCAAGCCTCAACACTACTCAGAGCCTAAACTGATCCTGGATCTGTCTTATTGGAAGCGTAACACTAACAGCCTCCCTGTGCCTGCTGAGCCCATTTGTGGGAGCGTGGAGGATGTGGGAGAGAAGAAGGATGAAGAAGCAGAAGAGGTGGAGACGGGGGATTTATTCCAGGAGATCTCTCGCTGGGTGGAGAGCACCCAGTCTCGTCTGCACTCGCCCAGTCCCAGTCCTTCTTTGGAGCCACGTTCACCCTCCCACTACAATTCCTCTCCCCCTCTTCCTATCTCCCCGACTGACCTCCCAACTCCAGTCTTCCACTACAAGGAGGTTGTGCGGCAACCATCAGATGAATGTAATGAAGACAGACTAAGCCCACTTCCACATGTCACATGTTCCTCTAATTCCCTTCCCTCACTTCTCCCCTCGTCTCCCACCTACCCACTTCCTCCTCAGTCCCCTCAAATAGTGTCTCCCAAGACCTCGCCACTTTTTCCTCCCCCTGACTTTCAACCCCTTTCGTCTACTTCCTCCATTTTGCAGCCAGTAAATGATGACTCCTTGGAATCACTTCCTGTCAAGCAAAAAGAGCGGCTGTTCGACCTGGACGTGTTCATATCCCGAGCACTGAAACTGTGCAGGCAGAATAAGGAGAAAGCAGACGGGAAGAAAGGAAAAGATGGAGGATGGATGGAAGAAAGCAAACAGCCAAACATTAACCGAAAGGTGCCCAGGCGTCCAGAGCACAGGACTCCACCACCACAGACTCCCAATTCTTGATGTTGAATTTCAACTTCAGGTCCACCACCAGTATAGCATCATAATGGGTAGCACTTCCAAATGCTCATAGTGCTGTACGTAGTGAGGGGTGTCCAAGGTTGAATATGCTGCTTTAAACATCAGACATTAGTGTTAGAAGCAGTTGTCTTTTTGTCACTAGTGCAATGACACGCTACACATTGTGACTAAAACCCTCACTTAAACAAGCAATCCTGCAGCTTTGTCAAGAGGTGCTCTCAGGCAGTAAAAGGTCACAAAGCATTTGGGTTAAATATAAATAATGATGCTTAGAATGGCAGATATGAAGGAACTGTTCTACATGACAATACTTAGAATTAATCAGCTAATTAATGATCATAGTATTTGTGGTTTGATATCATTTGTCAAGTTAAACATGCGTCAAAGTTTGACTTGATAGCGACTTATTCTATGACACAAGCACCTGCAAGTGACACTGAAGGTACAGTCAGCCTGATAACAAGAGTTCAAGAGTTCCCAGTGTGTACTGGATAACAGTAGCGTGCAGGAGGGGGGATCACTGGTTTGTTATAAATTTGCTTTAGATTTTTGTTTTTATACAAGATCCGTTGCTAGTTGGTCAGTCAGTAATTTTTCTCTGTCTTCCAAAGGTGATGTTCACCAAATAACGATGACGGAAATGCTTTTTCCAAGATTCTCTGAATGTATTAACTGAAGAATAATTAGACAAATTATGCTACATGGTAAACCATTTTTTAAATTTGTTTCTGTTTTAACTGTTTTCTTATATACAATCTATGGTTTCAACACTCCCACAGTGACTTAACAAGCTCTGTTTCTGCTACATGCCTTGTAAACTTGTATAAAACTGGTGTCATATTTAATTCTATAGTATATTTTTCAAGACTATTGTCTTGTTGTGATAATTTTAGGTTAATTTGGAGTGAGCTGTATTTTGTTTCAATGTGGAATGCACTAAACTTTGCTCTAGTTCAATCGTAAATAGTTTCATAGTCTGTCTGCCTGATGCACCAAACAAGGTCATCGTCTGCTGTACACCTAGTGAAAAGATGATATCCTGTCTGTACTAGAAGGCCAGACATCTGTCATCATTTTCCTCACTTAAATGATAGCCACAGAAAGCTATAATGCAAACAACAGTTACTTTGAAGAATGTAGATCCTTTACAATCTTTATAGGAAGTAATTTGCACTCGATGCTCCTCAATGCTGCCCAGTAACCCCATAAATATATGTACCAGAAAATACCAAAAACATATATTTTGAAATACTTTTCTATCCTGTGTGTTAGACAGTAGAACCTCAGAATGTTCTTTATCCCGACATCTGATGTCTCTCCTTTCAAGGTAACCAAACCAGGTAAAAGATACAGTCATATGTTAGTAACAGATGAAGGCTGTTGGCATGTGCCTCTTAATTTCTATCAACTGGATCTGACATTCGCTTCAAACTAAAAAGTGAATAACAACATATGGAAATGGAATTAAAATCATTCTGCTGAGCCAGTTCCAAAAATAAATACAACTAAATCTATGTGTCCCATATTCTGTAACCTAGAAGAAATAGGCTTCCACCTTCCCTGATTTCACTTTTTGACATGTAATGGTCAGCTGTGGGTGTACCATAGACTGTATACCGTCAATGTACACATGGTTCTGGCTATTGGAAATGCCAGAGGCAAAATACTGAGATGTATAAAAACACTGCCAGAGCAGCTACAACAAGACATGTTTTATCACTTTATTAATCTTTCTGTCCAGCATCTGATACCCAGTCTGACTAGACTAACTTCCACTCAGTTAGCAAGTCTTTCATACCCTAATACATATTCATTTTAATCCTCAATCCACACCATACAATCTACACACATAACACTAGTGTTAAAAGGTACTTGTGTAGCAAGAGTTGACAGCCTATGCCAGAAAAAGTTGACTTCCATAATACTTTATGGTTATCAGCAGATCATCACTAGCACAATATAGTATGACTTCCTAAGAGCCATATCTGAGAACATAGACACACTGTAGAATAGACTTGAAGCACATTTAGAGTCACTAGCACATTCAGAAATACTGGTTTTCCTCAGTGAAACTGAAACTCCACCAATGTCAATGTTCATTTTCATCAATAATGTACCTCTAAGGTATTAACCATACCTGGGATAGATATCTGGACTAACTGACAGATGTTTTGAAGTAAATAAAACATTTCTGATCCATGGCCATTTATGTATTTTTGGAAATAGATAGATGCAGTGCTGCAGTCTAACTAATTAAAATGAGTCTAGTTTTTAACCTATACGGGCCATATAATCACACTCTGCATTATACATTTTTCTCTGCAGGTAACCTAGCAATAACATCACTGACAAGTAAAAAAACACAAACATATACTGTAACACATGAGGTTACTGAGCCGACGTTAATTCTTTGTGTATGAAGCAATGTAGAAAATGTGCCTCAGTATACCTTGATGTTTCCAGCTTGCTGAATGTAACATATCCTCCTGCATGGCTTTCACAACTATTCAAATAGCTTAGACTTTGATGTTTTTATCATTTGTCAGTCATATTTCTGTGGGCTCTATTGTACTCACACTTCAATGAAGCCTCGGCTGTTCATTTGAGGACAACTGTGAGGTTTTTAAATGCTCAGTATCTCTTTTTGCAGTTTCTGTTTTTGTTGAAAAATTAATAAAACAATACAAAAACTATTATTTGACCTCATGTTTTCTGCTGTCATGTCATAATGCCAGTTGAGAAAAACTATTACAGAAATTGGTTAAGGCAATTGCGTGTTTGATTAAAATTTACAAGTACATTTGAAGGACCAATGCATTTACAGCTAAAGCAAGATTGCAACGCCCTTCCCTAGATGGACCTTCATACAAATACACACAATTCAACAGGAAAACATGCACATAAAAAACTGCACAGAACACACACAAAAACAGTCAATACAATGCAGTACAATAAAAACCTGACTCATCCTTCTTGAAAAAAGGTTTAAGCATGAGTTTAAAATGATGGTTGATGCCTTTGTGGTCTAACTGTTTCTGTAATTGCTGTACTGAGAGAGGAGCTTATGTCTTAAATGTAATTTGTTAATGCATATCTGGATTAACAGCAAACATTTGCTGTGCGTCCCTATGATGTTGTGGTGATTTGTTTGAACACCAATCTATTTGGGAATAGGCTGTGCACCATACACCAAACAGGGCCCCTCTATGAGACAGGTGGACTATACAGGTAATAATGCAGAAAATGCCTTAAGGCACTTATCATTTATGATATTGTATGTAAGTGTTGTATATTCATAAACACAAGTTTTGTGATAATTAAATTATCACAAAACTAACTGCAACAGAGAGAATAACCTTAACCCTGGAGGGTTGGGAGCCCTGGGGGGTTAATCCACCCCAATATAAATGTAACGTAGCAACTTGGGGCAAGGTTAACCAAATGCATGGTGAAATCTGAAGTTAGATGACCAATTAAAATCTTGTAAATCTTAAAAACGCATTTATGCTGAAAGTGGAATAACTGTCTTTTACAGTAACTACGACTGATGGATTTTTCTCCAAAAATCTTGCGTGTGTCGCAGTCTTTACGGTAAACACGAAGGAAATCCCAACGTGTGATTGGATGAGTGGTTCTTCTACACTGCGCGAGAGTCTCCTCTCCTCAGAACCTCTGCCGCATCTGTGGCAACGTACCAAGAGGTCAAACAGTTTTACCGGTTACTCAAGGAGAAACATGCCTTATAAACAGTAACCCGTTCAACGGAAGTAACCGCAGTCAGTATTATAATATTCAAGAGCAGGTAAGCCCAGTCGTTATTTTCTAGAAAATACACAGTCTGTGTGTCATCTAAGAACTTCCCCTTTTTCAGAATAAGAGACAGCATGTAACGTTAACTAACCAGGCTAAAAACATCCGTGCTGTGTCAGTTTAACAAACACTTGGGCTGTGGGCTTTTCTGTCGTTAAGACGGGACAACGACACAGCTTGGTCTGTTTTAGTACCATAGCCAAATGTTAGCTTGTAGCAGTTGTTAGCTGCTATTTGTTTGTAGTTGCTAGGCTAACTAAATAACGTTAGCTTCCCACTGTAGCGAGTTACAGTTAGTCATTTTCTTTTGTCCATCTGGTTTTTATTTCTGTGTAAACGTAGTTGTTATATATGTTCACAATTAACATTAAACATTCTGTCCCTCCTCTTGTATCTCTAAACAGAAGATGGAGGTAGAAATAGTGAGGGGTTAGGGTTATATTACTACATTTACGGCCTATGTAAGTATGCAGCACTAATAACAAAAAATTCACTTCCAGTTTCTTAACTAAATAATCAGTTCAAACGTCACTCCCTGTCAGGGTTTTGCAAAGTTAAATCTAACAGCTTTCTATTGTATTCTATGGCAAGACACAAAAGATGAACCAAGATGGAGAATAATAACACCTGTCAGCAAAGCCACGCATAGCTGTGTACTAACTAAGATGTATGTCTTCTTGAAATTGCTTTTGCTTTATGCTAATGTACTCTGATCCCAGTAAATTAAGCTATAAGACCATAAAACGTTTACACATGAAAGCATGGGTGTGGCTTGGATTGATTGCTTGTTGGACTAAATCCATAGTTTAGAAGAATCCATAGTTTAAGGGCACACTGGCTTCCTGTTGGTACCTTGTTTCTGGAATTAACCTTTTTAAAAAAAATACATAATGCTTTCTTCAGTCAATGCAGTCATTACACAAATCATTTCTATATTAAGAGTACTTCCAGACACAGTAATGCTAGACTCAATAGTCTGGCTAAATTGCACTGTGTGTCCTGTTTGCCTCATCTGTTTAGAAAGTCCATTTTAGCTGGCATTGAGTTACACATTTCTATGCAATGGCCATCAAGCCTCAAGTTTATTCAGTCTGGTGAAGTACTTGAGAGTACTTAGATTGGTCAAATTCCAGCCATGGCAATATACTGTTAAAGGAATACAAATGCACAATTCTAGCTGTGTTGGTTGCCTGATTTTATGAGCTATTTGCTTACAAAAAATTACAATTACAGACTGTCCAGGCCAGCTTCTGGCTGTGGCAAGTGTCCAGCTAGTCCATTCACAGTACTTGTTGCAACACTGATACAAAGCTGGCTCATTGTGATTTCTGTGCCAGAATTACCTTGCTCCTTGGCAGACACAAAAAGTATGAAACAAGCAATCATGGATAATCTCAGCATGTTTGATACGACCTGCTGATGAAGTCTGGGAGGAAATGAAAGGAAAAAGGAATATCACTGTATCAAAGTATGACCTCGTTAGATGTTCAGGCTTTATATGTTCTAGAAACAGGTTGGAAGCAAAATTCGACGTGGATAACCGGAAAATAGTATTCTACAGTGTACAAGACAAAGACTGGATTTCACAGAGGCTGCATCAAGGCTGTTTTCCCTCTGAATGTCAGACAATCTGCCACTTTGGTCCATTCTTTAATGCTTCTTTCTAGGCAATGTTTCCTGGATGTGTAGCTGTTAGCCAAGACTCAACAAGCTGGCTGTGCTTGTAATTTCTTTCATCAGATATTGTGTTCAAAGAGAGGGCATGATTAGACCACAGTACTTTATCTGAGTCTGTTCTTTAACAACAAGTAGAGGCTAATGGAAAGCACAACCATTGTTTTTGTGGACATTTTTAAGGTCAGTGGGGGTAATTTATAAACTTGCTTAGTTGCCTATCAAATGTAAACCTGCATAGTGTGATTAAACACAGACTGGCATTAAGAGTAACTGTTGCACACATCTATTTAATAAGGACTATAATAACGTGTGGACAAGCAAAAATTTTGAGGTTAGGAATGGAGGAGGATAAGAAAAAGACAGCACAGATGAGTCCTGTTTGTCACATTGCTCTTTAGCCACCTGAGCTCAGCTGTATGTTGTTCCAGACCATGGAAATCATAAAATGGAGTTAGAGCTCAAGCCTCCCCCCCCCCCCTGTGTAATCCACATATAGGTTGGTAAATTACTGGGAAAATTTACATAGATAATCTTTTTGGAAAACACCTGACTGCAGTTGACTGTATTGTGTTTCCTCATGTATCTTGTATTTCAAAGCAATACTTATTTCAGAGATCTGCTTGACTGGAGTCCTAAACTACAGGGAACTAAAATAGAAATGGCATGCAATAATGCCGACTTTGCTGTTCTCCACATAACTTGCTTACAGGTCTAGTTGCATTTCCTCTGGGTCAGGCCTTGACATTAAGGAAGGCCAAAAGGAATTTAAGCTGGATAAAAAAAGAAGAAGATAAATACATAAGTGAGTACAAAAGTTGAGTTGACAGATGATTTTGGTTACTCCTTTGGGGTCTGCTTTGCTCTTTTTGTAACATGGTGACGCTTGAGCAATTTGCCATTATTGACATTAACAATTAAAGCACTAGAAAGTATTATAACTGTGTCATATGTGGCAGTTGAAAGTTTTTCTTTTAGTCCGTTGGCTCTGCAGGTTTGGTGGGAAGGCAGCATTTACTTTGTGGTTTCATAGTCTGAGGGATGACCTTTTGCTACAAATAATAACAACAATAATTATCGTGAGGGAAGGCAAAGCTGCTCTTAATTGTCTACAACTTACAAACTTAGAGTAGCTTTAACTATTTCTGCACCCACCACAACACAGCACGACACAATATAGCAGCGAATCACAGGTCACATGCATGACATAGCTCTCACACTACTATTCCAGGCCACCAACAGCAGCTGAAAGAAGGGTAGGGGCCCTTATGTAAAGTGAATATGCAGTAATTGTTGTTGGTGTGGCATCATTCTAGCAAGTTCTGATACTATTTTGTTTATTTATTTTTGAGCGTGTTTTATCTCCGTCGGAATAGTAGAAATAATTTATGCCTTCATGTATGCTCTTGACATGCCGCCCAAGATAGTCTTGCTTCCAAGCTGTGATACATGTTATCTGTCCGTCTTCCCGTCTTTCCTATCTGTGGGCTGATTTCACCCTGATTTAGCTTGTTCTCTGTCTTCATGTGGAGCTCATTGCAAAAAGGATTATGACAATCTTTCAAAGCTTTGTTTCTCAGATCACGCACTAAATCACTTCTGTCCACATCCAGATTAATGACTGGCCACTGCTGTCAGCATTTGTAATCCCCGAGTGTGGGACTGTCCATACACACCAAGTGCATTTGTGGGTTTCTGTGATTAAGTGTGTGTCAGTAGGCCGACAGTCTTCACTACTGATATCTTAAAGCCGGGGCAGGCAATTTATTTCAGAAGTTTTTTTTTGTTATATTTGAAATCCTCTTTATATCCCAACAGCAATCAATAAATCAAATGCTCTGACACAAACACACACATAAAAAAATTCAGTGTGTGTGTTTGTTGCCGGACTGTAATTCAAACTAAATGATATGATAAGCTGGCCTACCTGCTTTTCTACCTGCACGCTCTCTGTCATATGTCCAAAGGTTGTGGTAGCGGTGCACTTCAGGTCTTGGCTGTCAGAAGCAAGAATAACTTAATCTTAAAGCAATAACTTTTGACAACCCCTTGACACTAAGGAATAGTTGTAATACTGAAAGAAATGGTAATAAATTAGTTTTACAGTTATGACTTCCACAAACTGGTATAATCAAAGTTGTTATCGCACATGTTGGTAATTTATTTTAGATACAATATAGACTTAAAAATAGGCAACAGCCTAAGGAATGTAAGGGTTTGTTCATGGTTATATGAACTACTGAACATCAGTATTTTTAAAGGCTGTACCAAATGTCTTTTTTTTTTTTACATTCGAAGCTTGTATCGAAGTTTCTAAATGAAGCTTCGATAATTTATGACGTCACCGTCCTAAAAAATCCTAAATTTGAGTAAAGTTATTCTTCATATTATTTTTTTTTGTGAAGTACAGGCAGAATAAGTAGAATTCGTGGGTTGCTGTTTGTAAACACATGATTCAAAGTTGGCCCCATGCAGAGAGAGAGAGAGCAGCGGTGGGGGAGCCAGCTTAGCGAGAACAAAGCAGAGAATCTGAGAAATAAAAAGTTATTTTGTGATTGTTTCAGGGTGGTTACATTCTAAAGCACAAATAAACACACCCGCATCTTTGCACAATAATGGTGTTTGTGTAGCTTAGCCCCTTCCTCGGTCAAACAGACACACCTGACAGAGAGCAGAGGAGAGAGACGCAAAAAAACCCTGCATGCTGCAGAATGAGTAGACATGGAAAAAATGTTTCCGAAAGTTGATTTAGAGCTAAGGCTGCAACTAATGATTATTTTCTTTGTCGATTCATTTGTAGAATATTTTCTCGATTAATTGATTATTTATTTTGTCTATAAAATGGTGAAAAATGTCCAAAAATGATTCCCAGAGGTCAAGATAGTGTCCTCAAATGCCTTGTTTTGTCCACAATCATTTGTGATTCTCCCACAGGAGATGAAATTGGAAATAAATAGTCATGTCTCCAGAAAACAACGGGTTTTCTGTCAACTTTGTTTCTCTTTTCTTCCTCGGCAGCTTTAAACCAGTGGACCTTCAGACCAGTGACTGTCCACCATGTTGTCCAAGTTGAGAGCAACCTGGTCCCTGAGACCCCGTGTCTCTGTTTGCAGATGGGCACACACCAAAGAGAAGGGCAAGCCCCTCATGCTCAACCCTCGCACCAACAAAGTGAGTGGATTGTTGTATTTGTGTTAGCATTTTAAAAAGAGATAGTGGTTAAACGCATCGAATCTTTATTAACATGTTTTGCAGCCTGTCAGTCCATTTGTAGAGCCATACCAATTATGACATATTGTGAAGTCTAATTGGCATAAACTTTTCTTGTGTCGGGGTGGAAAACAATTTTTTTGTTAGAATTTTATAATGTTCTTTAGTTGCGATGGATAAAACAAACAAGGAAATGTGTTATGAATCAAAACTGTAACATACAAAAGATAAAATGTTAAAAAAAAAAAACATCTCCTGTTGACCAGGGTCACTCTGTCTCCTAGCAGTTGTCAATATTTCTATTATCTGTGGATAAAAATAGCAGAGAGCTGCAGCTGTTTTAGTGTGATGGACAGGAATTGACTTGAAGGTTCTGACATGTTTGACAGGTTGTCTTTTATTAGACTGTGTTTTTCTATATCTGTATGTTTCTGCAGGCTGGTAGAAATTTCAATTGATCCCCAAAGTATAATATTTCTACAAGAAGTAGAATTTGTCAGCATTCACATGTAACGAAACAGGCATTACATCACGCATCAGGCGATTGGTATTACTGAAAACTAGAACAGAAGAGTAAAATAATACAAACCTACTGCTGGAAAACATTTGGCTCTGACTTGTCCTAGCTTCTAACACTTTAAATTGATACCTTCAGGACATGGTTTTCAGGCATTAACTAATTTTTCGTAGCAGGATTGTTGCAATTCATAGTGTTCACGTGACGTCACATTCCAAGGAAAACTCTCCCTTGGAGGGCAAAAAAGACGTTATTTTCTGCTGTATGTCAACCAGGAAGCAAGTGATACACTGTTACTTTGAGTTTGTTACTTTTGCGTTGCCAAAATGCTGGATGGTTGTTGTGCTATCGGACTAATTGACGAGGAGACAAGCCTGAGCTGTGTTAGGTGAGGGATTCCCTACAAGGTAAACGTAAACATTACCACAGTGGAGCACTGGCGGCGGAAATACAGCAGTGGGTGCTGTATATGGATCACAAGTGCCCAACACTTGAAGTTTGTGTAAAATTTAAGAGCTTTGGCAGCGTCTCTTACGAGGGATCTTGGTCTGTTTTTTTGGCCTCCAGGTCACCGCACATGTCATGCATGTGTTATACCTTATGTAAAGCATTTTGAACTGCCTTGTGGTTAAAATGTTAAAATAAACTTACCTTGCCGAACATCTATAGTAGGGCTGGGCAATAAAATGATAATGATAATTATCGCAATATAGCTTTCCTCAATAACAATATAATAAATAATAAATAACAATAAATCGTCAATAAATATTTGGTTTAATTCATTTAAATCACAAACAAATTAGCACTTCATCTTTCTATTAAAATATTTATTTTGTTGAGGAAAAAGGGACTGAAAAAAGATTTTATCATAATATTTTTGAATGTTCTACGTCAGATTTGTTAAGTGACCAACTGTTTGCATCAAGTGTTCGTCCCATTCTGACCATAAAGAAAAGTTAAACCACATAATTAACCATCTGGTTTATTCAATTTTCACTCAGGAGCAAAAATCTTGAAAGAAATAATGATTTGACATTTATCGTGATAATTATCTATATCGAATGAGATGAAATGTTTTTATCGTGATAACATTTTTCCCAGCTGGTGTAAGTTGCTCTGTAACGTATTTTCAATACCCTTTACACATCAGTATCACATTGTTTGGTGCCTTTCTTGTGTTACTTAAAGCAACACATATGTAACATGAGGCTGTAGCTGCTTGAAGAGATACGATCTCACTCTGTACAGGTTATGCTAAACTTAGAATATTCTGCACATGTTGTGCTAAATATAGACATTCCAACCTACATGTAAACTGGTCCCGGACTATCTGGCTGATGGCTCACATTGCACTAACAGCCTGATTCCTCTTGTTCCATCTGTTTGGGTCTAGTTCAGAAACTCATTTGTTGATCAAAACCAGCTCAAGTGGGAAAATGTTCTACATGTACAAACATAAAAAACAAAATGCTGTCTGGTTGTGGTTTTATATTTACTGTAGAAATATAAAAGGCAGTGAAACTCTTGAATTTCCTCTAGAATTAAAATTCACTGAGTTCATTGTGTGTTGCAATCTAACATTTACAGCGTGCAAGACCACAACATGGTGGTTACTCATAGGAGGACTATTTTTGCCAGAGTAGTTGTGACTTGCATCAGCAGACTGCATCGTCATGACTCTCTTGATTCGTCATAACTTTAAGAAAGAACTGTCAGAATTGTCTTAAATGTGAATATCTTCTGGTTTCCTTACTCCACCATGACAGTAAACTGAATATCTTTGGGTTGTGGACATTTTAAGGACATCATCTTGGGCTTTGGGAAACAATGACCAATATCTTTTACCATTTTCTGACATTTTATTTATAGACCAAACTACAAAAGTTAATCAAGAAATTAATAAACCCATTAATCTGCAATGAAAGTAATAATTAGTTGCAGTCCTAATGATACAAACTTTCAACATGTAGTTTCAAAACAAATGTAAAAGTAAAATACCTGGAAACTGGATGGAGGATCTATTTTAGGCAATTTCATTAACATAAATGATGAACTAAAAAACACAACTTAAACCAGGGGTTTTCAAAATCTGAGACGGTGACTTTGACAAAGCTCAGACAAAGCTTGGAAAAAGGTTAGTTTACTTGGTTAGACCGAATTAAGCCAAGACAGCCTAATATTGCTATTTGACAGCACAAACTAAACCAAGTACATATAAAGGTCTATCCTGTGGCATTTATTAATCTCTGGGAGTGTGGGGAAAAGTGTAAAATTCCCACAAACTACTGTATCTCTGAACTATCTCTTTAACCAATGAGAAATCAGTGGTTTCCTGTCAACAAATCATAGGAAATATATGTATATGTATATTTATATATATATAAGTACACACTCAAACATATATCAGGTTTTCAGGATATGTGTTATTTTACATTTTACAGATTGGGCTACTTTTGTCAGACCTGTTAGAATCACACCAAGAAATGTTTAAACTTTCAATTCCATGTAAAAAGAGGAAAAACAAACTAGAAATCAGAGGCATTATGTTGAGTGGAATTGAGAGCTGAGTGAAGTGAAATGCTCCATCAGCATGACTCAGCATTTTGCCAGGGTAGGCCCCAGCATTCATCGCTCTTCCCCAGCCATTAAGGCTTCCATATGTTACATCCGTATTTCATTCAGAGATGGTCATGTAAACCTACATACACACTCACATGCCCGGCAGGACCATGAGAACTCTTTGGACTCCTCCTCTCCATCTTTTATACATGGGGAGTTTCTACCCAGAGTCTTCTTCATTGGCTTCTTTGAGGCTACTCCCCTCTCTTACCTCTTTTGCTTCCTTTCACCAACTGCAAAATTACTTTCATCTGGTCTCCACCCCCCTTTGACTCAGCTCTCCTTATCCTGTTAAGAGTCAATAGGCCAACCCAGACTCATAGGTAACGCAATACACCCTCTGTTGACAAAACAACATTATAGTATGTGAACATTTCCAGCAGCAGGGGTTCTGACAATTGGTTCAGTGATTATATTTTTATTTAGAGAGATATTGATACATTTTAAATATGAAACCTAAATGCTACAAGGGTTGGTAGCAGAACATCATTCAACAGAGAGTGGCGTACTTAATAATAAACATGTCTGTTTGCTTATTGAAGTGATGTCTATAAAATCATGTTTATTTAGTTTACCTTATCAGACAGTCTGTATAAATATATATATATATATATATATTATATATATATATATATATATATATATATATATATATATATATATATATATATATATATATATATATATATATATAAAATACCACAAGAAATATATTTATATAAACAATATATTTAACATGTGTAAGACCAACTGTCAGTGGAGGGGCCGCTCTTTTGCCATTGTCCAACAAAGATTGCATTTCACTCATAAGTCATGTCAGAAGTTAACAGGAGTCTTAATTAGAAAAAATAGAATAGCAGCTGTGTCTCTCTATGACATGATTTTAAAACAATGCTGCCCGTTGAACTCTTGAGTAACTGAAGTTACTGACTTCAAGTCATTTTCCAACAATGATTAGTTGACAAAGGGTAGATACCTACAGTCTCTTTGACTCACTCCTCTCTTTTTGGTGTGTTTCCCCTCAGGGCATGGCCTTCTCTCTACAGGAACGACAGATTTTGGGGATACATGGTCTGTTGCCTCCCAAAGTGGAGACCCAGGACATTCAGGCCATGCGTTTCCAGAATAATCTCAAGAAGATTACTGATCCCCTGCAGAAGTAAGGACAAATGTAGCTTAGGGCACTGTAAAGAATAGCCACAGTATGATCTTCTCTGTTTTGCTTTTAAGCATTTGTAATTATTTATTTTAAATGTCTCCCTCTATACGGTTTAACTCATTTATCTTCCTTTTCCGTACAGGTACGTGTACTTGATGGGCATCCAGGAAAGGAATGAGAGGCTTTTCTATAGGGTGCTGATGGAAGACATCGAAGAACTGATGCCAGTTGTCTACACTCCCACTGTAGGCTTGGCCTGCACACAGTATGGACACATCTTTAGAAGACCCAAGTAAGCATGCTAAAGCTATAAAGAATCAACTACTAAAAGGAAAAAAAGGATAAACTACAAAGATTGTCCTATAGGATTTACTTTGGTGACAGACATACTTTCAGGAATTAATATTTAAGACAATGAAGAAAAAACATTTACCTCTATAGTCTACATTGCTACCTGCTATAGGCCACAAAATCAGTCTCATTCAGAAACAGTCATTCAAAAGGATTATTCTGGATAAAACACAGGCTTTGACTGGAGCTGTTGACATTTTATTTTGTGTTATTTTTAACTGTCTGATTTTATTTATAAAGTGATTATAAAGTTGAGTTATTTGCCTTAGTGCAGTCCTGTGTAATACACATTTAACATTGTTTTGAAAATATAATAACATAAATGTTTTTTTATAATGGTGAATGGGTGTTAAATTTGTGTCAATACCTTGATTAAAACAATGTTAAGGATGGTACTGTAGTAGAGAGCCATTTTTTCTCTCCCTATTTTGTAGTAGATATAATCTTGCCATAATTAAGTAAAGTTATTATTAAAGTAGTCTACTATCATCTTGTTTCTCTCACCAGAGGCTTGTTCATCTCCATTCTGGACAAAGGACACATCCGTTCCATCCTAGACAACTGGCCAGAGACTAATGTTTCAGTGAGTACCTGAAAACCTCATCAAAGAAACACAAATTTCGGCTAATATCTATATTACAGTGTGAAAGAGACTCCTAGTTGTATCACATATCGCAGTCAGTGATAAGTCTTGTTAATTGACCCATTACCATCCACATTTTCTACATTCACTTGGCTAATGTCCAGTTTAGTATTGCTCACTGTTGTATGCTTGTAAATGTTAATCTTTTTCACCACCTCTCTCTCTCTCTTTCTGTAGGCAGTTGTAGTAACCGATGGAGAGCGCATTTTAGGATTAGGGGACCTGGGTGTTTATGGAATGGGCATCCCTGTTGGAAAACTTTGCCTGTACACCGCCTGTGCCGGCATTAGACCTGAGAAATGTCTGCCTGTGGTGATAGATGTCGGCACAGACAATGAGGTTGGAAGGCAATGTTTTTTGATTTGTGTGTTCTGTATGTGTGTAATGCTTTGGGGAAAGTAGGAAAACCTCATCGTATGTTTTCCTTGCTGTCCAATCAGACTCTCCTGAAAGATCCGCTGTACATGGGGCTGTACCAGAAGCGAGATCGCTCTCAAGCCTACGATGATCTGATTGATGAGTTCATGGAAGCTGTGGTGGACAAATATGGGCAGGACACACTGATCCAATTTGAAGACTTTGGGAACCACAACGCCTTCCGCTTCCTGAGGAAGTACAGGGAGAAGTACTGCACCTTCAACGATGATATCCAAGGTTCGCATATAACCGCATTTGAAGTTGTACTTTGTCATTATGCCAGTTTATCTGTCCAGTTAAAATCAGCAATTGAATTACGTTTAGTACAGTTCAGTTGGCATTGCTTAAAGAACCATTCTGGAGGTTTTACATGTTTCCACCCATCCCTACATAATGCCTCTCCTTTTAATTGTGTAATTGTTGGGGGACTCTTTTTAAAAGCATGTTATATCTCTGTTGTTTTCCATCTAAAATGTATTTTCTACCTCCCAACCAGCTGTTGTTTTATTTTTATTTCAACATGAAAATACAGTTGCAGAAACCTGAAACTTGCTTTAATAAAATAAGCAATTACAGTAAACATATTGTGGGCTTTAAGTCACTGTACCGCAGCAGGGTAGAGCAGTTTGAAAACTCACCTGTGGTCAGTTCAATGAACCAATGACAGCTGTGATTTGACAATTAGGAGCTGGAATACAGTGCATTCATGAGGTATGTTGTAACCAAGATGACTGAACCTGCACATCATAACTTAAAAAAAGGCCCATCCCACCTGCCTACCTTAAAACAAACGATTAATCTATTCTCTTTAGGGCAGAAAAGTCATTGTTTCCTGTTGTTGTGTTCTTTTCCATGTTTCCAGGCACTGCATCTGTAGCCCTTGCTGGTCTGTTAGCAGCTCAGAGAGCCATTGGCAAACCTATCACTGAACACCGGGTGCTTTTCCTGGGAGCTGGAGAGGTAAGATAATATTTATCCATTTATCAGTCGATTTGAGTTCTCTTGTGGGTTTTTTATATTTATTTTTTTAGAAATTTTTTCCTCCCCAATCTGGAATGTGAAAGTCCCATACTGTATATCAAAATAATAACATAGGCCCATTTGTAAGAGCCATACCGTCCCCTACTGACCAGAGCTGGTAATGCCAATAAGAAATGATAGTCCAACATTACTTAAAATCTTTTAGAAAATCCCCAATGTGCTCAACATTGACCAGAACTTTTAAGGGTTAACATTTTATTATGGATATATTGTGTAAGTACTTTGAATGTTTAGTTTGAGGTTATTTTCTCTCTAGGCTGCCCTTGGTATTGCCAATCTGATTGTCATGGCTATGATGGAAAGCGGGATGACGCAAGCTGAAGCCAGAGAAAAGATCTGGATGTTCGATAAACATGGCTTAATAGTAAAGGTTGGTGTGTGTGTGACAAAGACATTGATGACTAGAACATACATTATATGTCTGTGTGGCTTCCTGTCAGGCTCACTGTTGATGTACTATATAATTGGTGAACAATGGTTTTACTATATTCTTTCTCAATATACTGTTGGCAACAATGTGCTGTGTGTAACTCCAGGGCAGACCGCAGGAAATAGACACTAACCAGGAAGCATTTGTCCATGATAGTCCAGGGAATGCACAAAGCTTCCTAGATGCTGTCAATACCATCAAACCTACAGCTATCATTGGTAAGGAAGTCTCATTTTCATTTACAGTTTGGAATATGCATTTTTAAGTTTGAGCCATTCAGAAACTTATTAATATGCTCTTGTTTGTAATGCTCTCGTCATGATTTATTTAATTTTATCCAAGCATGAGATTGTATCAGGTCAAATGACAAAGTATATTTTTTATTTAGGTTATTTATTATTTATCCACTCAGCTTTGCAAAATAGTCTTAAATCATGCTGTCAAGGCTCAGTGTAATTGCTGGCTTCGCTTGAGCAGTAATGATGGATCACTCACAAGCACAGGGTGACCAACATTTCTCTTTCCTTCTTCCAGGTGTGGCAGGAGCTGGACGTCTTTTCACCCATGATGTCATCAGGGCCATGGGATCCCTGAATGAACGACCAATCATCTTTGCCCTGAGTAACCCAACCACCAAAGCAGAGTGCACAGCGGAGGACGCCTACACACTCACTGACGTACACAGTTCTTTCTGCTTTCCATTCCTTTCATTTTAAATAACTTTGAAATTAAGCGTTATGAGTTATTTTGTTGTAAAAATTACTCTTCCTGTTATTGTCCTTTATTTTTTCCCGTCATCACTCTTTCACCCTTTTGTTTCTTTGTCCCACAGGGTAGATGTCTTTTTGCCAGTGGCAGTCCATTTGGGCCAGTAACTCTGAGTGATGGCCGTGTCTTCACTCCTGGACAAGGGAACAACGCTTACATCTTCCCAGGTGAAAAGAAAATAAATATGCATAATTTATATTAACTGACCAGAAGAGAGTATGAATTATGTATTAAATATAAAATGGCAATAATTTTCAGTGTTAAAAAGTTACCAAAACATAGTGTTTATATAATGGGAGGAAAAAAATCACCGGATGATAAACAAAAATGTAAGAAGTAAATGCAGTCTGTTTTTAAAACACATGCTGTTTGTGCATTGCAGGTGTGGCCTTGGCTGTGATCCTGAGTGGAGTGAGACACATAAGTGACACAGTATTCTTAGAGGCTGCCAAGGTCTGAAGTTCGCCTTTACCCTGCTCTCACGTCATCCGGCCCTTTCTTGCTAACTCTGTCATGTATGCATACGCTGTATACGCTGGGTCCTAAAACCTCTTTAACCCTTTGATGTCTCCTGGTCCGTCTTTTCCTAGACTCTGGGATAACAGCTAATAGATAAGGAGTTTTTAAAAGGCTGATCCTGCTTTGCACGTCTCCCTCTTCTCTCCTACTTCCTTCCATCGTGTTCTTTCCTCTTCCACTGGGCTGCTTTTGACTAGATTACATTGATCAGTGCAGTCAGTGCAGCACACTTTGTTCAAGATAGAAATGTTTTGCATGGAGAAGTCACTGACATTTGCATGTTGGTAATATAACTTTGGTCATTTCTGTCACTTTTCTTAATTTGTCTTATTCAAAATCACATTTATATTTAAAAACAGAAATAAGCTGTAGGCAAACAATAGCTGTATTTTTTTAGGTCTCAGTTTTTTGGATGCTAGAAATTCATCTTCAGCCTAAAAGTATTTTTATACTCGTTCCAGACGCTTGCAGAGCAGCTGACAGATGAAGAGCTGCAAGAAGGCAGACTTTATCCTCCTCTCTCCAACATCAGAGAGGTCTCTGTTCAGATGGCGGTCAAGGCAAGTCTCCTGAAAATGACAATTTTGAACTTTAGCTGTTTGGCTATTGATAAACTATTAATGGTAGTTCAAATGTTTACTGTTCTTCCCTAAATTGAGCCTCTTCTATCATCATCTGATTTTCAAAGTAATACTTGTGTCTGCCTCTCAGCATTAGTCAATACTAAACTTTCTCTTTCTTGCCATAGGTGGTGGAGTATGTCTATGCTAAAGGCATGGCATTTCGCTACCCTGAGCCAATGGACAAGAACGGCCTTGTACGTTCTACTGTGTGGAACACCCACTACGACTCCTTCCTGCCAGACACCTACGACTGGCCAGGGGTCAGCTTCAGCCCCAAGACTGACTAGAAGTAGAACAGACCCGCACTGTGCCCCATGTCACTCTTCCTTTGTTTTCCACTGAAATCTCAGTCACATATCTTTGGAGATGATAATAGTTGCATTAGTGCAAACATCTGCTTATGAAAAAAGCCAGTAGAAGCCCCTTACTGCCACCATGTTACTGCTATTTGCACTAAACCATGCATCACACGTAAACCTGCACAGCACCTGGATGGCCACCTGGTGGTGGAAAAAGGCAGTGTGGAAATCTGATAGAGTGGATGATAACAAAAAGCCAAAACATTATTGTATGGTTATTCCTACCACCTGTTTTAGTCATAAAACACATGGGAATAAGTAACCTTTTGTTGGGAAATACCATTTGTTGTGTACACTCCTGAGTCCACTAACTATTAATCTGACTATATGTAGCTACCTAGATTGCCAAACTTAATTCACAGGTTTTAACATGCAGTATGGACATTGCCTTTTTCCACATCAAGTGGGCCTCTGGTGGTTTGACTGTTCCAACCAATGCCCGACATATGCTTAAAGACTCCTTTTTAACCCGTGCTTCAATTGGATACATTGGTTATCAGAGAAGGTGTAGTAGACCCGAGTTATAAAGAATCCAGCCTTTTGATCAAACTAGGGGAGAAAGAGAGGAAACAATGTAACTGGAGATAATGATGAGATTTTATAATGGGAAATTTATATCTAAAAACACAAAACGAAAGTACACTCCAGCATTTCATTTGTGTGAATGCTTTTGTCACATTTTCTTTATTTCTATGAATTTATTTTATTTTATTTTTATTTTTGTGGGTTGTATTTAGATCGTGTGCTATATAGTCATCAACACTCCTTTTAATGAGTTGTAGTAAGAAGAATTCATCCCTAAAAAAATTGCCTGTTTGCCTAATTGTGATCAAATTTAATATAAACTATACCCTAAATATTTAAAGAAACAATGTGCAGTATCAATTGATTGAAACCCTTTGATACTACAGTTTCAATTGTTATTATTTTTTGTTTTCTGAACATGTCCTTTTGTAGAAACTAAAACTGTCTGCTGAAAGAGTATTTTATAAAGTTGTGACATACATGTGTGTTGGCAGGTTGGTGTGTGGGGTTTCGCTCCTTGGAACATATTCAACAGGACTCATTAGTTGTCTTGTTAAATATGTTGAATAGGCTAGGATTCTAGTGAATGTTCTGATCTACTATTAATAACAAATAAAAACAGTAACATAGGCACGATATCTCAGATTAACACAAGCTTTGCTCATGTAGTATATCTATTTTGCCTTTATTTAGAGATGGAAATTTAGACAATCCAAATTTATTTGAAATCTAACTTTTAATAAGGCAATTCAGAATGCTGTACATGAGAAATACAAGTAATTATGTCTTATGTACAAATTAAAAAAATACATCCCACCTCATGAGAAACTATCCTGTCGGATACTTTGTGGTGAGCACTACATACTTTCACGTGTGTATAAAGACTTTCTGGTGGGCAAGACAAATGTGTTGTTTTTTGTTTGTTTTTGGCTAATGTCCCGTTAGGGGCTCTGTAAAATAGAAGATAATTACAGTGCAGCTACAGTGCAGTCCAAGATAATAATAAATACCTAGATCCATTTAATAAAAGGCAGTGGAAAAGTCTTTAAATGAAATGCAAAGTTTTCTGGGAGGTTGTTTCAGATATGTGGTACAATTTACTCATAATTTACACTGTTGTCATAAAAAGTTAGTGACCAAATAGCACTACTCACAAACATCTTGAAATTGACATCTTGACATTTTGATCTTTTAATTCTCACCAATGTGTGAAAATATATTACTTGATGCTAAAGGCCAGTGGTGCCTACAAGATAATTCGATAGATTGTTACTGGATATATATATTTGTGATGAAGAAGCAGTAGAGAAACATTTTTCTGTTGACAAACATTTTTAGAACATTTCTTTTTGATGTGGCAGGTCTACATGTTGACAGTTGACTCAAATCCAGTGATCTCCTATCAGCTACACAGTTAAATAGTCATAGTTACAGCAGATGACATCTACCTCAAGGTCATGACATGCAGTTCTCAAAGTAAGATATCTTACAACTATAATATACAATATTATATTGTCATAATATTTCACATCTATATGTACATGTCATGCAGTGCACTTATCTCAGTGAGACATAGTAATGACAGTCAACCAGGTTGTCTATAAGATCTTAATATTTTGCTTTGTGCTCTGACAATCTTCTATAGTGAACAAGCTAAAGATCTGAAATTGTGTTTAGTGTAAAATTTGAGAATAGAGAAACCCTGACCATATACTTACACACCTTCACAGCCTAAATGTGTTTAAGCTGAAAAAAATGGTTAAATTAAATTTACCAATTACTATTTCATTTGTAGTATTGTCTTTAAATATGTTTAAATATACTAGGCCTTTGTTTACATTTTAGTCTCAGGATATTGTATTAGGGCCTTTTAACCACCTGCAAGTGTCTGCACAATGTTCAGTGTCTGTTCATAATCACTTACATAATGTAGACCTCACAGTCTGCTGCAGGCAGAGCTGGGAAACAACTCAACAGCACTATGAATATTGAAATACTGCTAGTTGTTTAGTACAAAATGATGTAACTGTGTGGTATTCAGTGTGCAGCTTTTTCTCTGATAGACTCTGCAGCTTCAGGTTGAAAACAAGTAATATATTGTTAAAAGTTGTCTACTCATACATTATGAAATAGTTTTATTAAAACGAAACTATTTAGAAACAGTGTGACCCCTTTAAGCGTTGGCTCACGTGTCTATCCACTTTTATTTGTTTCTGTAATGGTCTTTTTACTTGTTGAATTTGGAGATGGGTTCACTCGTGTAAAAGGAAAATGTCCTACATATGTCATTGCTAAAGTCTGTGTTTCTTAGGTTTATTTTTGTTATACAGTAATATTTCCTCAGCATTTGTACGCAGATAGCAGCATGTTTGTGCTGCCTCTTAATACCTATGTGCAGAATAAAAACTGTTTTAAACTGGCTTCTTTGGCTGCTGATGTATATATGAAAAACGTTGTCTTTAATCGTCCAAATATTGCCGTTAAATATTCAAGATATACTGTGTTTTACTTATTTTAATCCATTTTATAGTCTTTGTATCGTATTATGTTAAGTGTCGTGGATTTCATTGAACCTACCACATGATTTTCATGAAGTCCGACGTGACCTGAACGCAGCAGCGTCGCTCGTGTTACGTCGTCACCGCGCGACTGTTGACAGTGAACGTGGGACTCACTTCCCTTTTGTACACAGTCTATGGTTGCAGCTGTGAACAGTTTTCACCAGTTTTCGTAACTTCTGTAGGATGGCCATGGATCTGACTTTCCTCGGGACCGGCTCGGCCTACCCGTCTCCTCACCGCGGCGCCTCGGCTCTGGTGCTGCGTACGGACGGGGAGTGCTGGCTGTTTGACTGCGGGGAGGGAACCCAGACCCAACTGATGAAGAGCCAACTCAGAGCCGGTGAGTCACACTGCAGGGCTGCCCCACCCTTTTCTTGGAAACTAAAACAACGTCTTAAAACCAACTTCGAAAAAACTTACATTTAAATGTGCCTTCCACGCTACTGAGTTTTCTCTGTAACGTCAATTCTTACCTCTCCTAAAGTGCAATATGAAGTTAAACCAAAGTCCACTTAATTTTTGGATAATTCCATAGACCTAAATTAATTTTATATCTCCATAACCACAAGTCCCTTTAAACTCTGATAATTTATTCACCACGGGCTCACAACACCATTCATTCATGGAACTCAGACAATAGCTGGCGCCGTTATTGCAAACTGAACGGTCTGAACAAACTGAACGGTCTGAATCTCTATGAAGTTTCTGTTGGCATGGCATGGCTTGACCATGACGTTTAACTCCCATTATAGCACATGTATTGTGTAATTAGTATGTCATGTTTTCTACCCAGGGCGAATCACCAAGGTCTTTATCTCCCACCTGCATGGAGATCACCTGTTTGGTCTTCCTGGTCTCCTTTGCACTGTGAGCCTCAACACCAACCCCGACCCCCAGCAGAACTTTAACTGTGTGGACATCTACGGGCCCCGGGGCCTCCGGCACTTTCTAAGGGTGACACTTGGCCTCACAGGATCACCACTGCTGTTCCCTTATGCAGGCAGGTCCAAAATGTACAACCTGAGCTCCAATGTGTCCACAGCACTACAGTCTGGAAAACACAGATCTATGAGTTGTGCTCTCGGGGAAACACTAGCTAAACAATTGTTAGATATTATTGTGAGTATGACTGCCAACTTCAGGATAGCTTGCAAATCTGCTGCCTCATGTGAATTGTGTTTGACAAAAACTTCCCACAAAGGCAAAATTAGTTATTAAAACATATAGTATATAGTTAGTTCATATATTTTCTAAGTCTGCAAACTATATATAAAATGTTGTCACTTCAGCCTACTTTATTTGCTGCATTTTATACAGCAAACGAAGAAGTAACTGCTTCCAGTCTAAGTTACTTTAATCATTCTTATCTTTGTTGCGTTGTTGTACTTAATTGAAATGTGCTCTGCTCTCTTCTCGTGTATATAATGTATGTTGCTGTAGTACATGAGCTGGAGCCCACAACTAACCAGAGTCCAGAAGAGGGGCAGCTCAGCCTGGAAGTATGTGACTGATTTTGGTGTTAATCTTGAGTGTTGATAAATTACACCTTCACTCTCTTTTTAGTGCAAAAAAATATTACACTTTCAGTAGGGCTAGACTGATGACATACCATGCCAATATTATATATTTTCATTTTGCGAATATCAGATTAATTAATTATCTGATATATTATGATGATTATTATATATTTTTAAAATATTTTATTTTTATAGTGCAATACCGGCGAGATAGATAAAGTTAGATTTTTTTGATTTGACAGTCAGCCTGTTTCCCCTGCTGTCCCCATCAGTCTTCTCCCTGTAGTCCCTCAGGCATTCATCCATCCATCATCATTTTATGGACTTGTGGGGGTGTGCGTGGATTTGGCTTCCAGGTGTAATGGGGCTTCATTGGAAATGGATATCTTTATGGCTCCCCTATGACAAATGTTGCTCTTTATTTGCCTACTGGCCTATAGTTTTGTTCAACTCAAAGAAGTGGATTCTGTTTTAACTCCACCCCAAACTACTAATTCACCCATTCAGGGGTGGTGATGGGGCAGTGGATAAGACACATGCCTTTGGTGTGAGAGACCCGGCTTCAATCCCCAACTGTGACACATCCACCATTGTGTCCCTGAGCAAGACACTTAACCCCTAGTTGCTCCAGGGGCGTGCAACCTCTGATATATATAGCAATTCTAAGTCGCTTTGGATAAATATGTATAGCTAAATGAATAAATGTTAAAGTAAAGACATTCAACAAAATGCATGTGTACCTTTCAGCATGCATTACACTAGAATTTCCTTTCTGTGAGGTTAACATGTATTCTTTATCTGCATTTTGCAATGACGATATATGTAATTTATGTCTAAATGGCTTTCATTCATTTGTTTAATGAAATGATTTCCTCAGCCCTCGAGTTGTGAGTTTTCGCCACCCGGGAACAGGAGCATGTAATCTTTAATGTTTTGTGTTCTGTGTTTCGTGTTGTGTCTCTTCAGATGACAGCGGAGCGTGGTCCTCTGCACCCACAGGAGCAGCCGGGCAGGACGATCTCCCTGGATGTCTCCAGTGACAGCTACCCCCTCTTTCAAGACAAGAAGTTTGTGGTCAAGGCCTTCAGGTTGTTTCACCGCATCCCATCCTTTGGTTTTTGCGTTCAGGAGCATGACCGACCGGGAAGGCTGAAGACTGAACTCCTGAAGGAACTGGGTAAATGCACTTTGTACTTTTTAGATTTCTATATTTCTTTATTTGGACAGGTGTAATGATAAAAGGCAGAAATGTGAAGAGAGACAGGGATAAGGATACATCCCTAATTTTCTAGTACCAGTTACATATTGTTGGTGATTCCACCACAGCACAACATATTTTATTAAGAGAACAAAGGGAATGCATATGATGTGATGGTGAATAGGCAGGTCAGAAGTGGTTTAAAAAATCTGTGATGACATGATATGGTGGAATTTTTGAAAATAAACAATTTTCCAGCAGATGAAAGTAAAAAACTAAATATCTTAATAAAAAATTAGAGAGAGAGAACAAGTTATTGCTTTAAAAAGTATAATAAATATATAAATATATATAATGAATGGAAATTAGTAGTTAAACTTCATGTATTTATTTATTCACTTACTCTTTGTTGTAATTGTTATTCTGTTAGCAAAATTGTTTATAGGTCTTGTATTTGTTGGCACGAATATGACACTAACATACACAAATTTAGTCTGATTTACACAGGGGCCACTCGTATAATAAGGTATTTCAGAAAAAAAGTGTCCTCCAGCAACTTGTGCACTATTTTGACTGTTCTCATTTTGTGCTTCCCAGGCCTGAAACCAGGGGCCCTTTATGGGCGCCTGAAAGCTGGAGAGTCTGTAACTCTGGAGAGCGGGCGTGTCATTCTGCCTAGTGAGGTGCTGGAAGAAGCCATTCCTGGGAGGAAGGTCTGCATTTTCGGGGACTGCAGCTCAGTTGTCGGGGACGGAGCAGCGAGGTTGTGCAATGGAGCGGACGTTCTGGTTCACGAGGCCACCCTCGGGAACGAGCACCGAGAGAAAGCAGTGGACCATGGACACAGTACGCCTGAAATGGCGGCGGCGGCGGCTCGGGCTTGCTGTGCGCGGAGGCTGGTGCTGTACCACTTCAGTCAGAGGTACAAACCCTGCTCCCTGCAGAAGGAGGGGGACGAGGACGATGTATCAGAGCTGAAGAGACAGGCAGTAGATGCTCTACAGGACAGTGGTATAGAAGTGACTCTGGCTGAGGATTTTCTGACTCTGACCATTCCTCTTAGAAGATCAAGGTAATGAACTACTAATTTAGTTTTCATATTGCCTGAAGTAGATCTGATTTTAAAAGGAGCAGCACTCTGTCTGCTGTGCGTGTGTATATATGGTGTAAAATGAACAATGACATTAAAAAGAATTTACTTTTAGTAAGCATGTTTTATTATTCTGGGATTTTGGAAGTTATGGATATTAAATTGAAATTGCTCCAAAATTCCCATGATTCCGAGCACTTATCACTTCTCGTCCATGTTGGCCTTGAAGTTGAGTTTGACACTTCACTTCACGACAGAACAATCTTGGCTCTAGGTCCAGCTACTTGCTTGTTCTGTCTCTCAACCGTTATTACACAGCCTTCATCAGCACGTGTGCCGTCAAGCTCAACTTTTAAGCAAACATGGACGAGACACTCAAGGGATGTTCGGAAAATTTTAACATCTACCTACGTCTCCACGACAACTGAGCAACTGCTGATGAAGACGTTTGAAAGCTCCTAAACAAGCAAGTGGACCTTGAACTGAGAAATTGGACAGCATAACAGTATTTTTATCATTACACATTCATTAGTAATTCTCCAAATGGGAGTTTACCAATGATATTGTATGAATGCTACTCGTGTCGAAGCTTTCAGTCTTTGCTGGTATTTTCTTTCAGTTTGTAATGTTAACACTCACTTGATACTAAAACCACAATCTTTCCATATGAATCAGTAAAATCTGTTTACGTTTTCTGTATGATGACAAAGAACATGCGATCATCTCCGAACCTTTTCCAGAGCTTTATTTCTGGATCTGTACACAAGGTATTAAAGTACAACAGAAAATACAAAATAATGTTTAACAAAAGAAAAAAAAAATCCTCAATGTTTATGTACAATTCTTATAAACAATAAAGATAGCTTCTTGAACATGTCTCAGTGAAGTTTTTGATTGTCTATATTTCTGGATATACATTTTTAAGTTTTGTAGGTTTTTATTCACAAAGGTGTTTGTTTTCATCAAAGGACTCTAGTTTTCTTTTTCAAAACCACAACTGCTAGAATCCCCCCCCCACCCTTTAAACTTCAAAACACAATACAAAATATAAAATAAATTTGTTTAGTGCTTCCTTGCACGCACAAGTCTCATACCAGAGATATCAATAAAATCACATTTTCGAGAGTTCACAGGGTGGTGAAAAACCTACTTCTACTACTTAATGGCCTTTACATTCTGACAGTTTTTCTGAGTCTTTGTACAAACCACAGGTGAAATAAATATCACTGCACTGCTTAGAAGAGCTTGGAGGACCTACTGCATTATGCACATTGCATTAAGAGACAAACTAGCTCTCCACATACTTAGAGCAGCAGCCATCCTTTTACCATCAAGACAAATATAGATGACGTAAAAAGACTTTTTCAAGGAAAAGAAAGAAGAGCGTCTTTTACACATGGCTGCAAGTTTCGAATGCAACACGGAGTAATCTCAATACGTCTTCAGGTAAAGCCGTTTTCAGTGGTACACTTGAGAAACTGACACAGCTGGCATGCGTGGTTTCAGCTGTGTCCTGAGGGGGGTGATGGGGGGGGGGGGGGGGGGGGGGGCATGACTTTGCAAAGAGGAAAAAAATGAATTTCAAACACCAAGTCAACCGGTAAAATGCAAAACCCAAAATATCTGTACATATCTACAAATTATTGCCTTTTGACAAGGAATCAAATTAAAACTTTTGTATCAACACAGATTCACAAGTGTAAGAGGTCAGTTTATAGACTTGTTAAAGGCTATTTGCTAATTATTTACATGAAACGCAGAAGTGAACGTCTTCTGATGCGGAGCTTGGAAACGGAATTACTTAAAACTTAATGAAGGGTTATCGGCGTGAATCCCGTCTGTACACACACACACACACACAATGGTGAATTAGTAGATAAACGGACATGACAAACATGATGTACCCCTGAAACAAACTAATTATTCATAGCACAATGCATAGATAAATTAAGTAAACACTACTACTGCATCCAATCAACTGACGATACCCCGCTAAACATTTTACAATTCACAATTATGGACTTCAGTCAAGAGAAAACTGCTTCGTTTCTGCTACTAGAATGTACACAAGGCATTCTCGAGTCAGAACAGGTTAGGCAGAGTTTGAATACAAAATGATAGTGACTTTAAATAAAGAGATAATACTGCTAGCAGGTTTAAGTGGTCTGAAAATCACGTTAACTTGATTTAGGAGCATATATTATTTTTACTACAACTAAAAGGGACATATACAGCTAAACTTGCCACAGAGTAACCATGAGTTGATAGGACTGAATAAAAGCTTGCAAAAAGGTAAAAAGTATATGCAATAAATAATAATTACTTTACGGTGCCTGATGATGTCTATGTTTGACTATTAACCCAACAAATATCTTTGCATTGCAATATTGCTGTTATGGTTTGCTTGTCTGACTGCTACCCTGATGGAAAGAAGCAGGATAAATAAAAATAACAAAATATCCAACTACAGACTCCCATTATGTTACTCTGCACAGGTGTTCATCGCCTGTTTAAAAATGTAATAGAAAAACTCTGAATTTAGGGACTATAATTTGGGTGAAAAGAAAAATTTACATTGCAAACATTCACATGTTCCAGTTTGGCAACTTTGAACAGTTTAAAAGTAAAGAAGAAGAAACTGCAGACAAGCTTCCACAGGAGAAAAAGAAAAGAAAGCCAAACTGGAAGGTCTCCAAGCTAATCTCAATGCTAGTGTTGCTCTTCATATAATGTATCTAGCGAGGTTTATGTCGGGCATAAAAATAAAAACAATTTGCACTAGCCTGGTTACTAAAATGTACCTGTAAACCAAACACTTATTTTAAAAAAAAAGTACCACTTCAAAACAACATAGATGAGCAACTAAATACTAACACTACAGGCAGAAAACTGAGCCAACTTTGGCAGCTGGAAAGAATGGCAAGAAAACATACTGTAGCTCTGAAGATGTGAGGGAGGAAAATACACAACTTTCCTACTGCAGCCTCTGGGCCCCACTGTACATGGACGTTACACATCACATCTCAAGACCGCAAAACAAAAATAAAATAAATGGCTATATAAACTCTTGAGAGAAATCAAGATTTTTAGTTCTATATGATAGACATCACTGATGTCATATTACACAAAAATGAAAACAAAAGTATATTCATATACATATATCTATATATGTCTATATATCTATATATATCTATATAGATATATCTATATATAGATATATAGATCTATATATAGATATATAGATATATATAATAGAATTTAAACAAAGATTCTCCAGTGAGTTCAGTCTTATGTACAAGTGGGATAAGGGGTTTCAAAAGGGAAGAACACGAGGAAGATCACTCTGACTGAAGTGCCGCAGTGTGCTGTGTGTGGTGCCTTGCATGTGCTCCCAGAAACCCGTTGGGCTCGCCGTTGCCAGCCAAGCTCCCAAAGTCTGTGACGGACACTGCCATTTTGGCGCCGGTGATTCGGTGGTGGTGCGTCGCTGTCCGTCGCGCTTCGAAGTCCACTTCAAGGTTACCCACAGACACGTCATTGATAAAGGAGTCAGGCAGCGCCATCTTGAGTCTCTTGGAGGGCCGCTCGCAGTCCTTGTTGACGCACACTCCTCCTAGCTGGCCCAGGTCAGAGTGGTAGAAGCCAGCGTCGAGCATGTTGAGGCAGTCGGGGTCGGCGCCATTAGAAGGGAACCCAAGTGATTCGTCGTGGTTCAAGGACCCGCGATGGAGACTTTCCAGTGGGGGAAAGCTGTAGGAGTCCAGGCAATTAACGTCTGCAGGGCTGCACACTGTGGCTACACTGTTACTCAAAGCTGCAAGGAGACAGGAAACTCAATTAACATTAAATGACTGGAAGCAATAAGAGACTCCGGTCAAGAAGCATGTGGATTGAGGGGGTCGGAAACATTAACATATCATTCATACAATACAGGTCTGATGTTAGCAAGTATTTCTATTCCTCAAGTTTTTCTGTAAATGCAGAACTTCGTCCTGTTCCTGACCTGTGAGGTCGCTGGCAGTGATGGAGTTGAGCAGGCTGAGCTGTTGGTCTGTGGTGGTCTCTAGCCTTCCTCCTCCACCTGCTCCTGAACACACAGAGGAGGAACTGTCCACTGCTAGTCCCTCTGCTTCATCCACTAGCCTGTCCATCAGGTCCCTGGATACAAACATGTTTAATTGCAAGTTTCGTCCAAATTATGTGCACACAAATCTTTTCAGAGCTCACTGTATTAAACATAAGCAGAAACACAAAAAAAGAATGCAACCAGATGTGCGGACAACTCCTCTGCCACTTACGTTACGCCAGGATAGCTGCTGTACTTTTTCTTCCCAAACCGATTCTGCTGCACAAAGAAGTCAAAGCGCTCGGACTTTTTCCACATGTAGTAAAACGCCACACATTCTGCTACTGTTCGTGTTGTGACCTGGGGGGGGGGGGGGGGGGGACAGTTATTTAAAAAGGGATGAGAAATGTTCACAGCATTGTTTGTGAGAACCTTTTCGTGCAAAAAGGGGAATCTTGTCAAATCATGAAATAAGACTCACTTTATGTTTCTGTATGAGGTGAAAATTCTTGTCATACATCTGTAGTGCGTGTTCAAAGTTCTTGCATTCCTCTTCTGACCACGGAGGTGATTTTTCTGAAATGAAACCAAAAACACATTAATACAGTTGTGTATAGGTGTATATGCTGTGTATACTGCACTTGTGCATATGGTTTTGTGACAAAGGGATTTGAGACTGTTTGTGCACAATCAAATACTCTTCACACAATGTCCGGCAATATGCCACATTCGCTCATTCATACTGGACAAAACTGGACAGCACACACAGTTTGGGATTATGCCGCAATGTTTTGTCCAGTTTGAATAAGCGAATGCGGCATAATTCCAAACTGTGTGTGCTTTCACATAGCGATTCGACTATCTGGGTTAAGTGCAATTTAATTTAGAGCGTCTGCGTAGCGCCCTTAACATACGCCGTCACCTACAGTGTAGCCAACAACGTGCACCTCCTCAAAAATGTAACTACACGTCAAGCCGATGCAGACCGTAAGCACTGTGATTGGTCAGCTGGGTAGCCTCACAATGCCTCCGAGCCGACAGGAAGTGCCCCGTGCTTTGAAGTAACTTTTACTAGCGGCCAAAACAGCGGCTGTAACACGGTGGATCAATATATTTGACCGTCACAATCCGAGCGAAATGACTCCTTTCACTATCATAGGGATGAAACGATTACTGGTTTAACAGTAAATCATGGTAAAAATCCAGACGGTTATTATTACCGTACACATTTTAATTACCATGACAACCGGGTACGGTTAACCGCGCTGTTATCATCTCACGGCAAACACTGTCCAGCGTCTCCCAGAAGCAGGCGAGCACGCGCAGAATGCAACGTGGGTTTGTTTGGGTCAGTGACAACACGGCGGAAATTTTTCAGTCACCCTGAACTGAAGCTCTCAGTGTTGCTGCTCTTGAAAAAACGCTACACGTTGTTCTGTTGCTGTGTGCGTCGTGTGTCGGCAGAGTCTATTTGTCCACTGCACATGATAACACGTTACGCAGTTTAGTCAACCAACCAGCATATCTAGAAACGCTCAAGAAAACAAGGAAGAATCCTGTGTAATTATGTCAGTTGTTGGGCTCATTACATTTACTATCACTGTCTTCTAAAGACTTGTTTTTTTTCATGTAATTGTCCACGGGGTCATTGTATTACCTATATAAAATCTTGATAATGCATACTGATGATTTTCATGTTTACAAAATGTATTATTTTTTCCAACACCAACAATCTGGTCGATCACTTCAATTATATCTGCTTGTCGTCACTCAATATTACCGCTCCTCTAAAGGTTAGGCCTACGTCTAAAGCTAGTAAGCAACCCTGGATAAATGACAGCATTCGCAGTCTAAAAAAGGAATGCAGGAAAGCAGAGCGCAGGTGGAAAAAATCCAGTCTCCAAGTCCATTACCTCAGTCTGAAGGATTTATTAATTAACTACAATAACTTGGTTAAGGATGCGAGAACACACTATTTTTCTGAACTCATCAGTACACATAAACACAATCCCAAGACTGTGGATCAACTGGTAAACCCAACCCCTCCTTGTGCCTCAGCTGGAAGTAATGATGACTGAATTGTTTTTATCTTATTTTACCAATAATGTGGTGTCAATCAGAGCCTCTATTACCCCCGTGGCCTCTTACTCAGAGGTTCCTCACCAGCAACAAGAGAGTTTTAACCAGTTTTATCCCATCGACTTGTCTGAGCTTTTAAAAACAGTATCACAAATGAGAGTGTCCTCCAGCCCACTTGATGTAATACCTACAAAGTTTTTACTGAAAGTAATGGATTCTGTTGGGCCCCATTTGATCTCTGTTTTTAACAGCTCCCTATCTACTGGTTGTGTCCCTGATTACTTTAAAACGGCTTGCGTGAACCCACTTTTAAAGAAACCTGGTTTAGATCCCTCCCTCCCACAAAATTTTAGACCAATTTCAAAACTGCTTTTTTAAGATTCTAGAAAGAATTGTGTCCAAACAGCTGCTCACTGTACTGGAAAATATTATATATTTGAAAAGTTTCAGTCTGGTTTCAGGAAGTACCACAGCACTGAGACTGCCCTACTTAAAGTCACCAATGACCTTTTAATGTCTGCTGATGAAGGCATGTGCTCAGTCCTGGTACTCCTGGACCTTAGCGCTGCTTTTGACACCATTGATCACAACATCATGTTAGACAGACTGAGGCACTGGGTGGGGATCTCTGGTACTGCCCTAGAATGGTTTTCATCCTACCTGTCAAATAGAAAGTTTTGCGTGTCTGTGAACAACTATGTCTCCTCGTTCTGTCCAGTTAAATATGGTGTGCCTCAGGGGTCGGTCTTAGGACCCATTTTGTTTTCCTTGTATCTGCTTCCCCTTGGACATATTATCCATAAACATGGCATTTCTTTTCATATTTATGCTGATGACACACAAATGTACTTGCCCGTCAGATCCACAGACCCTGGAATGCTGAGTTCACTTACCGACTGCCTTTGTGAAGTTAAAAAATGGATGTCAAATAATTTCCTCCAGCTTAACTCAGACAAAACAGAAATCCTGGTCATCGGGTCCCAGTAAATCACATTAAGCCTGTTGCAAAGAAACTTGGTGTCTGGTTTGACCGTAATTTAAATTTCGAGCAGCACACCACAAAGCTTGTTCAATCATGTTTTTATCAACTTAGAAATCTAGCAAAAATTCGATCTGTTAACTTTTAAGTGAGACCATTTTACACGCCTTCATCTCATCACGCCTGGATTATTGCAACAGCCTTTTCACTTGTTTAACCCAAAAATCTATTGATCGACTCCAGACTGTCCAGAACTCAGCTGCCAGGCTTTTAACCAGAACAAAGAAATATGACCACATTACTCCTATTTTAGCTTCATTACACTGGCTCCCAGTATAGAATTGACTTTAAAATTCTATTGATTACTTTTAAAGCTCTTCATGGCCTCTCGCCTTGTTATATTTCTGACCTTTTAGTCCCATACGCACCAGCACGTACCTTGAGATATGAATTTTTCCATACCGTTTCATCCCTACACTATCAGAATGTGATCCATAAATCAAGCTTAAGACCGTGAAAAAAAAGGAAAAAATAAGGGGGGAAAAGGCCGTGACTTGTAACAACAGGCGTTGGATTGGTTTGTCATTTGTTGGATTGTGTATGACAGTGGTTCCTGAACTTTTTCTCCTCCCTGAGTTTATTAAGTGCAAAAATATTAGAAACACCATTTTGGGACAGAAATGATTTGATGAAATCGATTAATAAAATGCTTCGAGAGATATGATGCTTCGTTTAATCCAATTAAAAACTCCACAATACAAACTTACGTTCCTTCTCGGCTGCTACGCTCCTCCAACGAACGCCGCCTGGCTCTGCCATCCCTTCACACAAAGCAATCCCAGTCCCGGCTATTCTCATCTGTGACACCACGATGGTGGAACGAGCTACCACACGCCATCAGAGCAGGAGTGTCCCTCTCTAACTTCAAGAAGCTCTTGAAAACTCATCTCTTCCGAGAACACTTCCTCTTATAACACCTCTAACCCCTAACATGCACTTCCTGTGCTCTTCTTTTTCTATCCCCTACAATGATCATGTATAGATTGCACTTTTTGTTAACTCTTACTTCCTTCCCTAGGTATCTACCCCATTGATGTGATATGTACTGTGAGCTCTTACTAGTATTTATTGCTGCTCTTACTAGTATGTTTTGTCAGTTGTAGATCTGTATTTGATGCTCTGTTGATGCTTGTATGTTGTTCCTCAAATGTAAGTCGCTTTGGATAAAAGCGTCTGCCAAATGAGTAAATTAAATTAACTATAGTGTTTCGCAGGTACATTTATTACAGTCGCACATCGCGCTTACGCTGTGAACAACGTGATTATGATGGCGCTGTTTGCAAAGTGGAGGAAGAGAGAGAAAATAGCGAGGGACAAAGAAGAAGTGTCCAAAGTATGGGATTATTTCAAGCTGTCCGTCAACCGTAAAACGAAACACGATGGCACCTTATCAGAAAGCAGCCAGTGTTCTGCTAGCGGACCACAGACAAGGTAACAGTAACAGCAACTTTAGCATTTAACTGAAATTGTGATTGATTGTTGAGTTGAAGGGTTGTATGATCAATCCCTATATTCACTGCGGATATTTTTTTCTCCCTTGTTAATAAATTGATTATAAGTACACTTTTGCACATGTTCACAATAAAGCTTGCAATGCAGTGTGTGCGTGCATCCCGGCGTTTCATCCACATTCATAAACCTATGGATGCTTATTTCCATTTCCCTTAAGAAATTCACAGGAATCCAATCACATGTTTACTGATGGCTTTTTCAGAGGTGTTTCAAGCAAGCCCGAGACTCTTTTGAATGTCATTAACAACTTTTCTAAGTAAAATATTTCAATAAACTCCACATAAAGCATTATTGCAAAAAACGTTCTCACGCTTTTATTTTGGAGGCATAATCACTTAAGAGGAAGTGATTGTGTGAGTAACTCTTGCTCTCATGTCTGAGATCTATTTCAGCACCAGCCGCTATCAATTTATTTATTTTTCTGCTATCAAAGCAATCTGACCGCAGGCGAGATATTATTGCTGGCGGGCCAGTTTTGGCCCACGGGCTGCCTATTGCTGACTACTGCTGTAGAGGAAAATGTTGGGGGGGGCTGATTCACCAATAGTGAACAGCGGTAAAATGTCAAACACTGAGCTACGACAGAGTGAAACCTCTTACCACATCAAAGGAGAGAGAACATCATCAGACTATTACAAATTACTGTGGGATTGTTAAAATGAGGATTATATTTGCCTCCTCTCGGATGGGATATTAATACTGATGTAAAAACTACACCAACTCTGATGTTACAGTTTAGACTGCATTCATATTGCCATGGACCAATTATTTTCCTTCCATGGGTGCTTTAATAATATGTTATTTAATAAAGAATGTGTAATTAAAATGTTTTCTACTTCAACCAAAAAGGTTATCGTATTTACTCCATCTGCCGGCTCATTAACGGCTAACAAGTCTTGAATACTAATAGCTGGACGGGCACAATGTTTGCTGTGGACGTTCACCATGTAACACAAGGAAAATACTCATTATGGAAAAAAATCCATACGCGTAATGTAGCTATGCACCTACACACTACACTGTTAACAGTCAAGATAATTTGTAACTGGGTAGATAATTAGACCTAGTCGGAGGGCTTTACTTTGTAGAGTAATTCTATGTTTGCAAGACCTTTGGAGAAAACCTTTCAGCAATGCAATGCACATGCGTTGCCAACAACCACAGCACCCTTGAAAACGTACTTTACGCAGTGACTATGGACAGACAAAAAATGTACAATACATTTACAATAATACCAGAGAATCTTATTGGGCAATTTTAACTTGTCATTTATCAAATTTGTCAATTTTTCCTACTGCAGGCATGTAGAACCTTTTTCCTTTGCTTACCTTTTGAGGACTTTACACGGTTGCAGTATCTCTCTAGTGCTTCACGGGTGTTGTAGTTGCACTTGACAAGCTCACACAAAGCCTATGTGGAAAGGGAATGAGAAGAGTGGTCAAGACTGGACTAAAGGTGTTTCTAAAGGTACATGTGTACCCTGCTCATCACTGTGTTACAATGAAAGGACTAAAGCTTAACATGAAAGGATCGATAAATAAAGACATGACTGACCTGCTCATTGTCTCGGACATGCATCCCTGGTTTGTCACATCCTGTCTTCTCATCCGTTGTCCGTGACAACACCTCAGACAGGAAACTTCTAACCTTGTTTTCTGGCAATGTACCTGGGCTCCATAATAACTCGTCTTCCTCTTCATATACTGCACAACAAAGTACATTACAGTAAGATTAGTCACCTAGTGTGTATTATCTTGTCTTTATTGAATGCATAGAAACATTGTAAGCAACCACTGAAATGAACATGTCAGGCATTTGGTGCTGAAAACACGATAGCAACAATCACCTCTCTCTCCATCTTTGTAGTGACAGAGGCAAGAAGGAACCTCTGCTTGGTACTGTGTTCCTACCATTATTTCCTATGATACAAAAGAGAATACAGGACATGTTTAGTAAACTAGGGCCGATTCAACTTCAAACATGAAGGAACATTACTCTCTTAACATGTTTCAAAATAAAATGTGTCATTTACCTTTCTGGAGTCCTCTGGGCTTGGGCCATCTTCGTCACACTCTGACTCTTTATCACCATCGGAGATAGCGTTGGCTGATAAAATAATAAACCAACACATAAATATCCTGACATGAGTTCTTCAACCAAACTGTTTTGGTACTATAATAGGTAATCAAATCTCCCCCAACATACTTCAATTATAGCCTATACACCTACATCTCTTGTAGGGATGGGGATCGAGACCTGGTTCTAAAAGGAAAAATTTCTCAAAACCCTGAAAATCAATAAGGTCCAAGCTGGTCGATACTGCTATCCAGACTAGCGGGTCGTACAATGTAACGTTATGTCTCGAGCGTCAAATCTGATTTAACTTGAAACGCAATGGATAAGAAAACTAATGTTTCTAATGATGGCACCGAAACGCGAAAATATTAAATGGGCCCACTAGCTTGGTAGTTAGCCAAATGTTAAAAACAAGCTAAATAGAAAGCCGTCTGTAGCATAGACTGATCTGTAGTCTTAAAATCTGGCACATTGTTAAAAACTGAGACAAACCAGCCGCTCCTCCTTCGACCAGGTAAAGTTACCTGCAGGCAGTGAATAACAGCTAACACGAAGAAGAGGAGGAAGGTCTGACTGTTTTTTATTCTTTCTAAACGTCCCTCAGTATTGTGATGTCAGATGTTGAGTTTATATATAGTGACTTTGCTGTTGTAAACATTAATGTTGCTGCTCTAGAAACAACATTTAGCTGTATTTAAAATAGTAAATTCTAATCCTATAATTAATTTTTTTTTTTTTAAAGCAGGCAATATGCACACTTCAATATATGTATTTATCGCAAGTCATATGTCATCTCAATATATAACAATGTTATCGCACATTGCACAATATTTTACTCATACCACGCAAGCCTACCTCATGGCCGTTGGGTCTGGTCTAACCAATAACCGTCACCAAATAATAGTGAAGTTTCAATAGTGGTATCGATAAAGAATCGGATCATTAAGCAGTCTCTATTAGGTTATCAATATCAATAAAAATTAACGATCCTCAACTCTAATCTCTTGGAAAGCTCAAAGTATGCATACGGAACTACTTCAACACCTGGCCATATTGTACAACATACTGTATGTCAGAGCGCTGAAATGACTAATCCATTTATGAAATTGACATAAAATAAATCACAAACAATTAGTATAAATTTATTAAAAGAGTTATTTATTATTTTATTTATTTATATTAAATCACTGTTAATTTAACATTTTGGTTTTTGGGCGGAAAAATCAATAATTTAACACATTGCATTGGGTTCCGGGAAGTTGTGATGGGCATTTACAATTTTACATTTTATAGACTAAATGATCAACCCAAAAATAATTTACTTAATTGCATATTAAGTTTTTATTCTGCAAAGCCACAGATAAGTACTTTTTTTTTAAGAAGGTGTAATCGGTCACTTACATCTAAGTGTTCTTGGGAAGAAATCGGTAGCCTCATGGGAGGTTACTGAGGGGGTCAGATCATCAGCTGAAGACTGGGTCTCTTCCTCATAGTCACCAGACAGCAGGTCTTTGGCTATTTCCTCCTAGGGAGAAACAATAATCTCCATTATAAACTGGGGCAGACAAAAGGTAATCAACAGAATATCTTACACCTTGAAGATAAATACATTTACTTCTAATTATTTTTCCAAAATATATTTATTGACTATACATCAATCACCACATAACAACAATTATTTACCTTGTCCAAAGTCATGTCAGGCAGCTCATCAGTCAGGTCTCCAGAGGAGCTGTCTATACTAGAGCCTGCTGAAGCCTCATAGCGATAGATGGCCAATAGTTCCTCCAAAGGCATGTTCCCCTCCTGGTAGAACAACAACAACAACAACAAAAAAGGCAAACTTAGCACTTCATACATTAAGTAAAGCAATTATGCATTTTCCCTGTACTATCCAAATTAAAACAAAACATTCATATTGTATGTGTGTTTTTTTAGCAAAACAGACAATTCTTTAAAAAAAAGATATAAACTGTCACACAAGAGTTCAAAGCCTATTTGTGAATGTAAGAATGATACAATAATTATTTATCACCAATAGAAAATGTATGCATTAAACTAACAAAATATAATGTTGTGAATCAGACAGCTTCCCCTTATCATCATAACGGTCACATCAGCAACTGTCAGTGTTACAATACTAATACTTTTCAAGTGACAACACTGTCAATAGGTGCAACCCTCTGGTTTCCACATCAATGATACATGCAAATGCAGATTAGACCATTTAAAAATCACTGAAATCCTTAGATTTACACAGGGAAATCTTGTTTTAGGCATTTTGTGCATTTAATAGTTTACCTTTTCCAGATCTGCAATCTCAGAGCGAAAATTCCTCCCTCCATCCAGAGATTCTTCCTCCTCCAGAGTCCTCTCATCATCATACTCATGAACTAACATTTCTGCAGTTGGGTCAAAGTCATGGTCCTCTGATGATAATGAGCCAACTGAGAGAGAGAGCGTGAGGGAAATAATGGTTAATATGTCAGTCTCGTCATACAAATTAGCTTTTTTTTTACTCTGCAATTAGAGATTCATACCTTAAAATATACATTTATATTTTTACTATACTGCAAGAAGCCCTTTTCTCTTAAAAGTATATAATTTAATCTTGATATGTATGACATATTTTAACACATAGATTAATTTAATTACATCACAAACTGTAGATACTAATACTCAATTTAGGAGGGAAGTTTTCTTACCTGGACTTGAACTCCCTAGGGAAGCCTGCAAAAGAATAAAACCAGAGCATACATGAGTGAAATATTGGAGACATGGGTTCATCTAACGTTAGCATGCTAGCGCTTTCACCTTAAATATTCAAATCAGTAAGAAAAAAGGCCTTTAATGGTCTATATGACGACCACCGAAAACAGTTGGATAGAAAAGCTGCTTTTACCGCTAATGTTACCTGAAATATGTGGCTAATGCAATGTTAGCCGCGGATGGTACGCTACACACTGAGGACAACTGTGGGCAAAAAGTAGTTTTAAACCCTGAAATTAATATTATTCCTTTCATAAAACGCGATCGAAGTAAAAGTAGGGAAATATATCAAGGACTGTACGATTTACGAAGTATCGGCTTCTATAAAACATTTAGCCAACCAGCAAGCTAACCCCAAAGCTTAACGTTAATGTTAACGTTATGCACCGAAAAATGTAAACACTAATTTCGTTTGCGCGGTACTGCAATCGATTGAACTGGATCATCTTTACAACATAGATGCCGCTAATCAAGTCTAAATATGAAAAATATATTTCCATTCATAACAAACGATATAATCTCTTATTTCCTTTAACCAGCAAGCTAACGTTAAATTTACGTATCAATTTACACAGCCGCTACACCAAAGCAGCTGAGAGAGCGAAGGCGCAGCGGCCTTGTAGTGAAGGATGAGTCCAGACATTCAAGCATATTTTAGAGGAATTAAAATGACAATTATGACATGAAACACGCTATACAGAAGGCAAAAACAATTGTTTCTTCAATCGATAACATAAAAATGAAAAATACAACACACATAATTTACAAATGTCGATTTAAGTTCGATTGCTTCTCCCCTGTTTTCCCTCTTACCTCCGCCATATTGGTACCTTTAGCTAATGGGCTCATTCTAGCACAGTACCCGGATCAGCGGTCTGAGCCAATCAGCGATCCAGGTGACCGGTCGAGTCGTGACGACGTTCAAACCAACCACAGATCACACTAACGGTAATCATTTCTAAACAGTAAAATGTACGGTATGAAAATATAAGAAATAAAAATGTAACATATCAAATCAACAATAGGCCTACATAGCCAATGTAAATCAACTACAGGCGTTGAGCATGTAATACCTCACACAATGACATTTTACCAGAACATTCCTAGAATGTTCTCGGAATTCCTGTTCTCCTCGGTAACGTTTTATCATATGTCAGCTTTGGCATAAAATCTGTTGTCTTTTTTTTTTAAAAACAATATATTTATTGATTTTTCTGCTTTAACAAAGGATTTAGTATAAAAGCATTACACAGTTAACCAGCAACAAAGCACACAAAAACCAAAAAGACAGCAATAATCACTTCAGAAGTCAAACATTGCCTCCCATTCCTTATATAAATAATGCGCATATATATATATATATAAATACATACATACTTATAAGGAGATAAATCCTCTTAAGATGGAACAGAAGAGATGCTAGGCACGCACACACAAAACAAAACAACAATAAATACAAATAAAAAAATAAAATATAAATGCCTTTCACAGTAGTCTGAGCCATTAGGATAGATTTGATGGAATAAGTAATAATTGGGACAACTTTCTGATGACCCACAGCGTCATAAGACAGTCCAGTAAATCTTGCCTGCACCTCAAGCCAAGAAAATACATCCAACCAGAGTCCCATTAATTAGCCAATATGTCACCCACCGCACTTCGCTCAATAAAATCCAAAAACGGTCCCCAAACCTTTTCAAAAGTGTTTTGTTTACCCCTAACCATGTATGTAATATTTTCCATTGTTATGCAGGAAGACATCTCTCTCAGCCAATGAGCAATGCTCGGCCTGTTCATACTTTTCCAGGCGAGAGCTATTAAGCATTTGCTTGCAATAAGCACATATCTATAAGTGTTAGTACCTGATTATTCAAATGTAGGTTGGTTGGGTACAACCCCAAAATAAACACTTTGGGATGGAAAGGTAGCTTCACTGATACCATTTGGAATATCACCTCCTTCCAAAATTCTTTAATTTTTCCACAGTTCCACAGACAATGAAACAGGGTCCCTTTAGAATGATTACACTTGTAGCATGTGTCTGGAATAGTGTTATTAAATAAATTTAACTTAGCAGGGGCTACATATGTTCGCATTAACCAATTGTAGCTTCAGCCGAGTATTCAGTCTGAGCCTGAGCCTTGGTACAAATACTACTCCATTTGTCCAAGGAAATGTATTCCTGAACATCATCTCTCCAGGAATTCAGTTTGTTCACAGACAATTCAGTAGAGCTAGACTCAAGCATATTGTAAATAGCTGAAATTCTGGCCTTATCATTACATTGGGTGGAAATCAAATTTTCTAAGATGGACAAAGGGGTTAGTGCCAGATTTTGGTTCTGGGAAGCAGAAAGAAAGCTCCTCAACTGTAAATATTAAAAAAATGTTTGCTAGGAATATCATATTTTGCTGTGAGTTCTTCAAATGACATAAGAATGCTTTCTCTATACAAATCGTGAACTTTTCTTAGACCCTTATTGGCCCATATTTGGAAACCCGGATCATTTTTCCCAGGAGCAAAGTTTTGGTTGCCCCAGATAGGGCTGAAGCATGATAAGGAATGCTTTTCACCAAGACATTTCCGCACTTCGTACCTAACCTTGAACGTATTGAGAACAAAGGGATTATTTGTTTGCTTTTTGAGTTTTTTAACATCAGCCGAGTAGATGTAGAGGTTAAGGGGTAATTTGGGGACAACTGAAGACATTTCAAACTCCATCCAGGATGGGAAAGCTTCAGAGATGAAATAGTACATAGCAGTGTGAAGCTGTGCTGCCCAGTAGTACAACTGGATATTTGGCAGATGGAGCCCCCCCATCATACGGTAGGTACAGCAAAGACAAACGTATTCTGGGATGTCTATTATTCCAAATAAAAGCAGTGAACAACTTATTGAGCCTTGCAAAAAGGGATGGTGGCGGTGGCAGAGGTATATTCTGAAACAGATACAACAATTTTGGGAGGACAGTCATTTTCAGAATGTTAACTCGGCCAATCAAAGATATAGGTAGAGATCACCATCTATCAATAAATTGGAGTATTGAGTCTACAACAGGGTCATAGTTAGTTGAGACTATTCGATCAATCTCTGGCCGGATACGAATAGGTATGTAAAGCAATCTGTTGCATTAAAAAGGGAAGTAAGAGGTGCAGGCATACGTCGTTCTTCCTCCTTTAACATCATAATTGAGGATATTGAATTATTTCTTTTATAACCCGAAAACACCCCAAAATCATTAATTAGATTCAAGTGCGTAGGTATGGAATTGTGCAAGTCAGTAAGAAACAAAATCACATCATCAGCAAAGAGGGCAATTCGATGGTCCAACTGATCTATTTTGATGCCTGAGATATTGGGGTACGTTCTTACATCCATAGCCAGAGGCTCAATGGCAAGAATAAATAGGAGAGGATAGAGAGGACATCCCTGCCTAGAACCTCAACAAATATCAAAGGGTTTAGATACCATATTGGTAGTAAGGATCTCTGCCGTGGGATTTGTATATAGTATCTTTATCCATCTGCAAAAGCTTTCACCACAGCCAAAGCGAGTTAATACATCAAAAAGGTAGGGCCACTCAACCCTGTCAAAATCTTAACATTTTTTGTCTATATATATTCCTGTAAGAACTTTCAATTGTGGCCACAATGCCTTCAGATGGAGCAAGAGAGGTTTTCAGTTGTATCATTCCATAGGATAATTTTAGCAATTTGTTGCATCAATAGGCCTAATAGGCTACAAGGTACAAGGTAGATATTTGTCACAACAGGTTGTAAAGTGAAAATGAGGCTGTAACTTCCTTCTACTACGTAGCAGACAATATAGATTAATACAAAAGCAATTATAAAAATGGTGAACAGAAATAAACTATATTCAGTGGATCAGTGCTGAGGATGAATTTGAGTTTAAAAGTCTGATAGCTTGGGGGAAAAAAGCTGCTCTGCAGGCTGGTTTTGCAGCAGCAGAAACTTCTGTATCTCTTCCCTGAAGGCAGCAGGGTGAACATGCTGTGGCTGGGATGGGTACTGTCCTTTAGTATCCTTTGGGCTCTGCGTTGGCACTTCACCTCACCGATATCGCTGATGCTTGAGAGATGGGTACCAATGATCTTCTGAGCAGTTTTAATCACCCGCTGCAGGGCCATGCACATCCCATGCCAGTTGGAAATGTTTTCAGTCAGGACGCTTTCTAATACTCCTCTGTAAAAGCTGACAAGAACTTGGTACAGGAATTTGGCCTTTTTCAGCTTCCTTAAGAAATACAATCGTGTTCGAGCTTTCTTCACCAGCATAGAGATGTGAGAGATGACCATGTCAGGTTCTCTGCAATGCTGATTCCCAGGAACCTGAAACTGTTCACCTGCTACACCATAGCTCCACTGATGTAGACAAGAGTGTGTGTCTTTATCTCATTTTTCCTAAAGTCAACTTCCTTGGGTTTGCTGACGTTACAAATACTAATGCATACTAGGCCATAATACTAAATACTGGAGTGTCTTTTAAGAAAAGTAATAAAAGTGACAAATTATCTATATAGTGGGATCAAAATATCTACATTTCTTTTCTATTGTTTTTTGCCATTGATGTTTCTCTTATCAAATTACATTTTCTTTTACTCAGTTGATAGTCTACTTCAGTAAGAGGAAGACCATTATTCACACCTGACACCAATCAAGAATTTTGACCTCTGACAAATGCACCCATGAACCTGCATGCAGTCTAGAACTCTTTTTCGAACATCATGGCCTAAGGTTGTCTCATCTTGTTGTAACAGCAGTTTTATCTTATTATTCAAATGTCAACCCATTTACCAACTTAGTGGATAGTGGTTGGTCTAAAGATCATTGGTTATACTGAATGAAGTATTAGTTTGATGACTAGTTTCATAATATTATAATATTTCTGTTGTGGGCAATTATTGTCTTTTTTTAAAGATTTTGTTGACTGACAACCTTTGCTGTTGACCTTTTTTCTTGAAAAGCTGTTGCCTTGCTGAATTATCTTTAGCCGTCGTCCAAGCTTATTTCCTCCTATCTTAAAGTGAGTATATCACCTAATGTAGAAAAAAAATATCTAAACTCTACCTCTTTAAGGCAAGGGTTTGATATACTAAATAAAGACTTTGACTAAATACTAACACAACTATTTACGGTAATCGGTTTCAGAAATACATTTTAAATGTACTGGTTTTTAGCGTGCAGGCCAGCAGAGGGCAAAAGCACTCTTTTACAGTTTTTCTTAGTCGCTTTGGTGCATTTCTCAGATCAATTGTTCAACCTCCACATCATCTCGTCACTTGTGCACATCATAAAAGCACTTTCTCATTGTTTTGAACAAATTGCAAATGACTTGAC